TCTCACTGTACGCACGTCTCACATGCACAGAATGTTGTTCTAGTGACTGCATTTCTCATGATTCCATGGGAAGCTTTCCCAATTTACTACTATTTCAGGACATCCAAAGCAATACAACTTCAATTCTTCGCCTAATTTCCAAAGTTTGACACATACGCTGGTTGGCGTCCCGAAGCACAACAGTGATGAGCAGGTCATATATCCATAGACACGTGCAGGGAACAGTGGTGTTATTCACCTGCCTTTCTTAACTAAACATTTCCTGTCAACATCCCAGACTGGCAAAACATCCTCTCTGTTGAAATGCAGGAACAGCATGCAGTAGTTGCATGAATTATAAACCATTTTGTTTCCTGAATTTGACCCTTCCCCTTGGCATCCATCACAAGATTTAAAAAAATAAAACAAAAAATACCAGTGGATCATTTTTCTCCCCTGCTTTGCAAATTTCCAGTACCGATAAATTTTACATACAATTACCAGATGATTTATGGCATGCTGGTGAAGCAAATCCATACTCAATTAGCAAAACAGCAAGATAAAAATGAAGAAGCTGGTTTGATGATCTCACCTACAGAACATCCTAGAGATAGAAAAGACAGACCACATTCTAAATGCTATCAAACTAGACTTCATACTCTCTTAGCATCAGGTTTATCTTGTAGAATGCTAATCAAATATTTTAAATGATAATTCTGAACTCAAGAAATAAGTGGGGATTAGAACTGCATCTTTTCTTACACTTAAGAACATGAAAGAAGGGTTTCTAGCTGAAATACTTTAAGCTTAGTCAGGAGGCTAAATCAATAATCAGCTCAGATCTTCAGAGGAAAGTCATTTAAAATGCATCCTAGACATCTCAGACACTCAAAAATAGTAAACTTACTTAATCCATTAGCTTGCAACAATACTGCATTAAGTTCACCTCTCCTTGACTGTCAGAATCTACGATCACCTCACATACAGAAAACAGATCAGCAGCTAATACGTCTCAGAAATCCACCCTCCCCAATACAGGCAGTGGATGCTCTATATTACAGTAGAGCCTAAATTTCCCTGCTTTTAAGACAAGCTCCCTCAGTTTGGGCATTTTTCCTGAGCGACAGCACTTGGCTGTAACACAGCCTCTTCACTCAGCACAGAAGTGTCCCTGTCCGTGGTGCTCAGCCTAAATGCCACTGCACAACAGGACGGTTGTGCCTGCTATGGGCCTGGAGCAAGAGGCTACAAAGCGTGAATCAAAACCAGAAGGGTGAGAAAATCTGACAACAAGATACTCAGCAAGTAGCAGCCATGCTGCCTAGCAAAAAACAGAAGGCCCACACTTGCCAGCAAAGATAGCAAGGTAACAGGAATTTCATCTGAGTCTTCAAAACCATCTCCATAACTGAGTCCTGATAAAAGCCATTATGGCTGACTCTGTTCCAAGAAAAACAAACATACAAAAGAGTCCAGGCAGACCTCTTCACAGCAAATTCTAATGCTTTTTATTATTCTTTGATGCAAGTTCTGCTAGGTAGGACTGCCAGCAACAAAACATCTTCCCACCCCATCTATGACTGATCAGCAACGGACCGCTGTATCTACACGGGTTGTTAACCACACTAGTTACCCTGCTTCAGCATTAACAGTTTGCAAAGCAGGCAAATAGCAAACACTTGGCTTACTGAGGTTTCTGAAAGCCACAATGTTACCCACGTGCAGACCAGCCCTAGTGCATCAAGAACATCCACAGTCTGCAGCTTTTCTCCAGTGAAGTATTTCTGGTTATTCCCTTTCAAACCCGAACATCAATACATCCTGCCTAGTATGTGAATTATTACTACCTTGACACAGTTGTAAAAGCACACCCATTTAAAAGCAGAGCATCCAGAGCAATGCCATACACTGGCAATGTTTTTGTCCCAGCACAAATTGTTTTCCTTTCCCTGAACTACAGGAACAAGTAAATGAAGAACACATCCTCCAAATAATAAATTGTGCTAAGTCCAACAGATATGCTAAAAGAGAATTCCTAATGGAATCTGAATAGGCAAATGATTTCCTGTTTCATCTCTAGTTACTGACAAGACATGAACACTATATTGGACTGCTGAGTCCTCTATAAGGCACAGCAGAATAGACAACTTGGCCTCCTTCGTAGGAGTTCTACCTCTACAAGAAGCATAAATTTGGACACGAAACGCTAGCATCTGCCCAAATGTGAAACAACCTTTTTATGATAAGACATACTTCTGATCATCTCAATGCTTGGAAAGACATACAAAGGCAATTAGCAAGAGAAGTATGACATGAAGACTAGTGGTCTTCGGCAACAAACTTTCTGCTCACTTCCTTTACAGCAAGTTATTACCATGCTGTGACAAAGAGTAATAAGTTCTCATATGCCTCAGTCTAGATGCTGTTTAAAACAGGCCTCTAGAAACTACCATGTCCTTATGAAATAATCTGTACCATTATGTTGGAGAAGTCTGAGGCAGGAAGTGAGACAACATTTGCTCTCTAAACAGACATGAAAGACATCTTGCTGCACACCTCTTAACTGTAGCTCCTCCAGCTGAGCAAGAAGTCAATACTGTCAGATTGCAAGAGCTGTTCTCGCCCACGGGATGAGGGACAAATAACTTGTTGCTAGAGATTGAAAAAATAATTTCATTTTGAATTCCAAATTAAGACATTTCTACAAGCCTAGACGACAATCTAAAGCTCATGGTATACTACAGATTAGACTTGGACATTGTACTCTATCAAAAACCAGACCATTGGGGAAAAAAATAGCACAGAAGCATCACAGGACTTTCATGAGACATTGAGCTGGGCAAGAATCCACTGAAAAATGTAAAAATTATTTGAATCCACGGCATAATCATTGTGTAATTAAGTAGATTTCTCTCAAGAGTTCATCTGTTTACATTGCTTTAATAACCTGTGTGTCAGGGAGGCTGAAGAAATTAAGTTGTTTCAGGATTGAAGAGAAAACTTAAAATACATGCAGATCAGTAAACATGAACACCAATAGCAACATTTAACATCAGAATGCCCAGAAAATCAAAAATGGGCATTTTACAGCATCAAAGTACTGCAGCTCATCAGTAAGCAGCTTGCCCACATTTTCTTCAGTTTTGAAGATTAAATACACAAACATGTTATGCATAAGAATTGCTGCTCTCCTGCAACATATCACAGTCTCATTAATTTAGAATAAATGTTACTACAAACATTTCACAGGCAAGTGCCTTCTTTTTTAAATTAAATACACTATGTATGTCATCTTGTGTTTAAGAAGGAAAAAAACCTGAGTATCTCCTCAGAAACCAAGAACATAAATATGCTTATAACCAACAGCACAAGCTCAAAGTTCTTCTGGAAATCCATCTCATTGTTTATACAGACCTTTAACGCATATACCCTCAATAGTGGAAGCTCACCACTTTGTAAGAAACTAACGTTCTTAAGATATATGCAGAATGCTACAATAAATATTATAAAAGAGCAACCATTTAAATTATTGGAAAAGTTGACTACATACGCAAAATCAGAAACTGATCAATAGGGACAACAATGACATCTAGTGGACACTCACAAAACAGACTTAAAGACTAGCAAGGAAAAGAAACCTGGTTTTAGAGTTCGACGAGGTGAAACAAATTGCTAAGCTGTAATAAAGAGGAAAAGACAGAACATGATGAAAGCTTCTGGTGTGCTGATGCATTTCTCAGCAGAATATTTCAAAAGAGTTCAAGTTTCTTCCATTTAAGACCTAGCGTAAGTGTTGTGCTGTTCTTTCAAAGTTTTGGACAACTAATCTGAGTTAAAAAAAATCCAGAGTGGAACATAGCATAGCACAAGCACACACGTTTACTAAGCTTCCTACCCCCTCCTCCTTATCTACAACATTCAAACAAGAACAGTTTGAGTAGAACTGAGAAGATAGAAAAACAAAAGGGAAACAATAAAAAGCATCAAAGTGCAACTTCCACTATAGAAGACCACTATAAAAACATTTCTTTTGCAGTCATTGCTCATCCTTATTGTGAGATCTGGCACGTAAGGGACTTAAGATAAACCTTCCCAACATGCAACCCAATAGCAGCTGAGGACCAAAGATGAGGAAGCTGGAAAATGAGGTTACCATAATGAATAATTTTCCAATGTACCAACTCACGAGTAACTCAATTAGTTTACCTGGCAAACTGCTACAAGGGTAACAGCTACTTTTGCTGTTTACCAAAAGCCAGTACATAAACAAAACTAAGTAGTTCAAGCATCTCAAATCCCACCACAGTGCTTCTTCCAAAGAAACTTCACTCTGGCTAAAGGTGCCATCATAAACAACACTGGTTCAATTGTTGCATTCTTCTAATACGTCCTATTGAAAATGACAAGCACCAAATACCACAGCTATGGAAGTGGAAGTCACACTGTTCATCAAAGCGCCCAGCCTAAAATAATGCACCCGTCTGAGTGCTGAATGACTGCCCACTATAATCATCACATGCCATACACACAACACTTGTGACATACAGAGCCATAACCAAAGTTCATACGATTAAATTCTGACCCCAGACAAGACTCAATAGTCCAGTAATCCTTTCACAAAAATCATTTACATTATGACTGTTTTCTTTCTCCTCTTCCCTCCTTCTAAAGCCTAAACTTGGAAATGCTTTTTTTTTTTTTTTTAAACTCTTCTTTTTTGTGTGTATCATGCATAGGGCTTTCAGATGCTTCATATCTACCAATTCTAAACAGTTCTGTTCTGAAGACCCCATTCCATCATCCATTACAGGATCCATATAGTAAACCTGTTACAACCATGCTGGTAATCAAAATCTGAAAGAGCAACCCAAAGAACTTAAAAAGCAAATACTGAAACAAATCCAGACACTTCACCACTCCAAGAACAATGACACATCACCACAAACAACATTTTTGTCACATCAAATGCACTAAGAAAAGGGGGCTATTTCAAGGTGAAGGACAAAATATTATTGACCTACCCGGATTTCCTGGAGATTATGAAAATTATTTCCCACTCTGACAGAGATTTTGCTTGGAGTGTAGCTTTCATCAGACTTGTAGTCTGCATAGATACATAATGTCTTCACTGTTGTTTTTCGTCTGCAAGAAACAGCAGAAGTGTGTAAGCATCCCAAAGAAAGACATTCATGAAGAGTCTGATGCTATAACACAGTATGAGGGTCTACTGATAAATAAGAACCTTACTGTAAAGCAAAAGGTGTTAGCACATGGAGTAGTGCACACATTAGAACTGCACCGGTATCTGTTGTCTGTCTTCATAAAGCTCACAATACAAAAAATTACAACAAAAAGGCAAGATGCCAAATGAGTGCTTCTATGTGATGAAACATATGGTTGGTTTACCAAACTCGGGCTCTACTACTATAACAAAATGCGACTCTGCATCTTAAGAGTTTGGTTAGAAGACTGAAAACATCCTAAAGCCAATCTTCTCAATCACAGCAAAATAGAAAAATAAAAGGTTTTTCAGGTCATTGGTAAATGCAGGACTGCTTTAAAAGCAGACAACTACCCTTTGAATTACACTCAATGACAGGAAAAATTAAGACTCTAATGTGACCTTACATAAGTAAATGTGAAATTGCTACAAATGGCCTACTCCTAACAATTCCTTTTTGTTGCTCATTTAGGAATTTAACAGCCGTAACATCATTTCAAATACTCATCTTTCTAAGTGCTTTTTAACTGGCCCTTTGCCCGTTAGGTCATACAGGATTACTTCAGGAGCCCCTGCACTTCCACAACTCCAGTCCTGGCGAATAGACATCAACACGAAGTTACACAAAATGGTCTAATTCTAAGGAGACATTTTTATTACCTAAATTGGATGTTCACCAAATGAGGCTGCGATCCATCCGACTGCCAGTACGTTTCCAGATTATCATCTCGTAACTGATCCACCCCAAATCCTAAGACAAAGAGAACATGACAGTCTTGAACATTATTGTTATTTGTGATGCCTACATCACAGTTTTTTTGTTTGTTTGTTTTACAGCAGTTCCGAATTGACAGATGTATTCTCAGCTTTAAGGAAATATTTCCAAATACTCAATCTGTACTCATGACACAACTACAAGAGTCTGCCAACAAAAGCTCAGTACTAGAGTGCCCTCACATTATCTCCTATTGAGGTCTGCAGGATTTTTAATCATTCAACATGTTGTCCAATTCCAAATGGAAGTAACTAATTCATAACAAATGCAAGAAAAATGCTTAACACTTCCATGTGTCTACATATTCTATAACCAAACCACTAAACTAAATGAAAATCACTAAGACACCATTCCATTACTAGAAAATTTTAGCAGAAGTAGTATTTTCTTTACAAGTTGCTTCTTGAGATATTTTTGTAAGCTAATGCTGTAACATTTAAATAAAAAAACACAGTGTTCCCCTTCTTTCATTATCCTTCTACTCATCACGTCATTTTAACAATTGCTCACACAAGTTAAAGTTTTCATTTAGCAGTCTAAGTTCTACCTGCAATAAAAAAAATGCCTTTATTCTAGTGAAGTAACTGAGTAATCAAGTATTTTTCTCTAAGGATACCAGACCAACAAGTTCCAGCCTGAGCACAACATTACGACAACGTAACCATTGACTCCAGGGTGCAGGAAAATAATAGATCAGTTCCCAGCAGATATTCCTGGAATAGCAACTTAATCACTCTGAGTGAAAAGAACATGGATTGTCAGATTTGTAGAGGATAAAGCTATAACTTCCAAATGCCTTAAGTATGAACTAGGCCAAAATTACTTACAGTGACACTTCCACATACATCAGATGTGGTTTTGTAAGTGGCAATTTTTCATGAAAACATACAATGTTTAACTAAATAGCGAAATTTATATTTAATCCTTACATCAATTTTTGTGATTTTTACCTGGTTTACAAGAAGAAAGTGACCAAACTGCTTGTGAGCCTATTTCTCTTACAGTACCCGTCCTCTCTAACTGCTTTGGATCAGCACCAGGCGGTGTCTTGTTTGGGGTAGTCATTTCTAATTAAAAAAAATAAAGTTAGCTACATTTTCACAGTGATAAAAAAAAAATAAGGATGACATTTGTTCAAATAAAGCATTAACCCTGTGACCTCACATTTATATAAATGATGCACTCTAAAGACTACTGTAGACATATCACACTAATACATACAGTTCCACACAGATGCAAAAATACGCACTTCAATTTGACGTGCACCAAAAACACTCATGAGGTATTTTATTTACTTCACTCTTTCCACACATACTGAGTTAGTTTCAGGCATGGGTGTTTTTGTTTTTTTTTTTTTTTTTTTTTTTTTTTGCTTCTGTTGTTTGTCTGGTGTTGTGTTTTTTTTTTTAAAGAAATGAAAATAAGCCCTGTTGATTTAAATGTTAGCAACACAACTCCACTTAAATGGAAGTGGGGAAGGAAAGACATCTTATTCTGCACATTCAGAAATCAGAGCAAGTCCATCCTAACAAAGATACTTCTTCAAAACGGGAAGGGATAGTTTAAACAAATCATGTAGTCCTTAATTTAGTAGAGATTCATTATTGCCACAGACATCCAGAGACAATTCCCCTCATCTTCCCTTTTTACCTGCAATCACTGAGCTGTGAGTTGCACTGCTCAAGTAATCGCATTCACTTTCACCCCTCCACTACTGCCATACACAGAAGACCAGATGCTATTCTCCATATCAAACAGAGCACCTTTAATACCTCCAGCAAAATGCCACAGAAGCCTTGCAAATACTTTAAAAAAAAAAAAAACAAATCCAAATATATCCCCTCCATGCAAGGGATCACAATAGAAGTCTAGGATTAAACATGAAGTACTGAGAAGTCAGGGAAGAAGACTCAAATTCTAATCCTTTGCTCATAAGAAAAATGAAGTCAAGGAAAAGTCTCTCAGTACCCAGCTAGACACTGAATGGGACACTGGATTCCTTCAGTGCCCACAGAGTGCAGAGCTGGGTCACTGCAGAGCTAACGCAGGTCAGCAAGAAAGCCAGCATGAGCTATATAGGACTAACCGCAAAGCTTACAACTACTGTGGGATACTAGAGATCTGAGTTCTGTAGTATATATCTGTCCACACCAGGGATTTGCTATTAGCCCTTCTTCTACCCCGCCTTGTTTTTCTTTTTGTAGACAGTTAAGACAGCTTCAAGGTTTTTCTTGTTTGCTTCACTTCGTAACTGATTCAGAGGAGAGACCGCAATACCGACAGCCACGCGCAGCTGGCTCCCGCGCAGCCCGCACACAGGCCCGCACACCCCAAAAAACGCCCCGTCAAGCGGCCACGCGGCCCCCAAACGGAAAAACCCTACCGAGGAGCCGCAACCGCACCTGAACCGCAGCACCGCAGGAACAGACAGGAGCGAAAGACGGCATACGGGACGGTCTCCCTCAGCAGCGGGCCGACTCCGACCGTTTAATGGCCGCGCACGCGCCAAGCGGTTTAAATACGGGGGCGGGAAACAGGTGGCCGCGATCGGCCAGCGGCGCGCGGGGCCCACACAAGGACGGAGCTGAGGGAGCCGGGCTTCCTTACAACGGGGAGCGCGGGCACTTCGCTTACGTCAGGCGCCGCTCCAGCCGGCGTCACTCGGTGATGACGCCATCAACGGGCGCGGCCCCGCCCCGCCCCGCCTCTTCCCTCCCGCAGGCGCCGCTCTATCCCTGCCCCGTTCCCGTCCTTCCTTTCCTCTCTATGGTGCGCGGCGCAGGCCCCGCCCTGCGGGGGAGGCGGCCATCTTGGCCGGGTGGCGGCGGGAGCACGTTGTGCCGGACCGTGCTCGGCAGCTGCGGCGGCCGCTGAGCCCGGTCCGGAAGGCGGGCCCCGTTTCTCGGTAAGCGGGACGCGGAGAGACGGGAGAGTGGGTCCGCGCGGATCTCGGGGAATCGGCGCGGCCCCCTCCCGTGCCGATGGCTCGGCTTTAGGCGCCGGGCCCGGCCGCGGCCCCTTCCTGTGGCACCGCGGCCCCCAGTCCGGTCGCGATGCGGGTTCGGCCCCCCCGCGCTGCGGCCACTTTCTGAGGGAGCGCGCCGTGCTGCACGGCGATGCGGATCCGGGCGCAGCCCCGCGGCTGAGCCGGGCCGAAAAAGCCGTCCGGGGGAAGGAGGGAGGGCTGGGCGGCGGGGCTGACGCTGCTAGGGGAGACAGCCGGGCTTAACGTCAGGAAGTTCACCCGGTGTACGGCTGCCTGCTTGCGTGGCAGGGAGATCGAGACTCCTTTAAGGTAGCGATGACTCGATTGCCATGTTGACAAGGTAAAAGGGTTAGGCTGCTTCTCTCAAGTCGCAAGTAAAAATCAAAAGCGAAGAGGGCATTTCTCCGAGGCCGCGGCAGCACTTGCTCTCTGCCATGCTCAAAAAAAAAAAGAAAAAAAAAAAAGACACCTTTTGTAGTTTTCCCGTGTGCTGATGGCAGTTGCTGGGTTTGTGCCTTTTGCTTCACGTTGAAGGGAAATATGAAAGATGGAGAGATAATGACCACGGCTCAGCACAGCTGAGCACACCCACTCGCTGTGCTGCGTCAGTGCGTTTGACCAGACGCTTCTCGTATTCACGTTGCGTTCATTTTCATATTCGTGCCTTGTGAGCGATGTGATGAGTTAAGTACAGTCATTAGGTTTGGGGCTTATTAAACCTCTTGTACAGCGTCAGCTCAGTTTCTAAAACATCAAAACCAAAGCATAGGCTGGCTTGTAATTCTTAGTGTACCTTGGTGGTACTTGTGCCATTTCCCACTGCTTCTGCTTTCACACTAACAAACGTGGTGATCCGGCACGTGCGTACTCTTTGTGTTTAATATAAAGTCACTTGGGGCATTCTAACTAACTTTTTCTTCTTGTGGAGTCACTGAATGTGATCCGTTAGCAGTGGATCAAGAAAGAATTCTTGAGGCTTATTACTTGCAGAGGAAAGTGTGAATGCTTCTCATCCTCATTTCTTTCCACTGTGTTTAGTTTACACGTGATGCAATGTAATTTGTTAAAAATATTAACTGTTTTTCTTCTGCAAAGTAACTGAAGTATGACTCAGTTCTGAACACAGATCTCTCCTTTGTAGCATTTAATTGAATCAACTCTAGCTATCTTTCAGTCTTCACTTGTAACTTTTATTAGTGCTTGTATGTTCTGCGTAATTCCAAGCAATTACAAATCCTTCTCTGTCATTCTAACGTGACAGTTCTATTATGAGTAATGCCTGTGACAGAAGAAATAAATAATGATCTATCAAAAATCATAAGAACATTGACTTGAAATGTTTGTGACAACATTTTTATGTGTCTTAGTTTTAGACACTTTTCTGGTAAGTGATACAACTGGACTTAGTTTGCAGCATGTGGCTTCAATAAATAATACTGGCAAGGTGTTGAAAACTTTCTGGTTAGTAGCTGTTACTCTTCCTCATTCTTTCACCTGCACCTTCAGTCCATAGTTCTGGCAAAATTTGCTGATCCAAAATAACCACTCTATAGTTAGTGGTAGACAAATGTTTTTGTGCTCTGTCTTACGTTCTGTTCTTGATTTGGAAAGCACAAATACAGATCTGAGCTTAAGTGCTTCTGAATACCAGTTTCTCCTGCTGACTGTACCTAGCAATTAATGCTGTACTGCGCTCTACCATACGCATCCCATATTTGTTGCTGACTTGTATTTTAAGAGTTCACTCTTTGCACCTTGAAATCAGACAGTCCTGTTCGATGCATTAAACTAAACTCTACTGAGGTAACAGCATGTGAGTGTGCAACCACAGTTCAGTCTGGCTTTGGACACCTATTTATTCTGCTCTAAACTAGCAGTTCTGAGGAGAATTATCTTTTTTTCTCTCTTGTGGGTAGCAGTCATTGTAGACATCAGGGCAGTCCCGGAGATGTTGTGGAAGTGACAAATACTCTTTTCTGAAAATGGTGTAATATCACCATAGAGTTTTGAATAAACTGGTGCTTCATCATGTAGATGGGAGCAGGAATGCCTCATCCCACATCTCCATACTGGCTGTGTAGTTCTCTCTCCTACCCCCTGTAATCTTTAAATGCTTGGTGCACTTACATCTCTGACTTAGAGGCAGTTCGAAACTCTTCACTGCAGGTGGTTATTTTCACATATAGTGGCATTAGAAGAAAAAGAATTGCGAGGCTGTTGTGTTACTTAAGAACCAAGGTCTGATTCAGCAATGACTGACTGTTCAGGCTTCAGTTTAATTTTCCCACCGAGATTAGAATTGTAGAATCATAGAATGGCCTGGGTTGAAAAAGACCACAAAGATCATCAGTTTGAAACCCCCTGCCGTGTGCAGGGTCACCAACCAGCAGACCAGGCTGCCCAGAGCCACATCCAGCCTGGCCTTGAGTGCCTCCAGGGATGGGGCATCCACAGCCTCCCTGTGCAACCTGTTCCACTGCGTCACCACCCTCTGTGTGACAAATCACGGGGAAAGCTTGTTGAAGTAAATGCATAAACTAAGTGTTTGAAGCCGTTTTGGTGTAGTCTTTTAGAGGGACCCACTCCCTTTTCCTCCTCTGTTGCTAAATTGAAGCTAAGCACCAGACTGGAAAGGTGGAAAGTGCAGTGAGTCTGTCTGCCCTGCTAATCTGTATTGCCCAGACAGAAACATCTACCACAGGTTAGGGAAGTTGGGCAGGGAAAGCAAGCTCCTGAGCTACGGTGCTTTGTCTGCTGCTCTTATAACCTGTGGAAATAGCTGTGTGCATTGTTAGAGATAAGGTGACTAGAAAGGAAAGCCCTGCCCGAAGGTAGACAGTGTGGTCTGCCTGCTCAAGGTCCTGAGCCACACAGGCTTTTTTGGAAGAAGGACTCACCCAGGTGAGGCATTTCCTTTGGGAAGTTGTAGAGAGTGTTTCTTTGGGCACTCTGCACCTTGCAGACTACAGAACTTTTATTAAAAAGCAGTATAATGTATTCCTGAAGAAGGTATCTTTGTGTTCATTGAAACACAGGCAAAATCCATTCTGTCAGTTACCTGGAAAATTGCCAAACATCAGTAGAGTTTTTAGTAATAAACTTCATGTTTCTTGTTTTCTGGTGTAAGAAAAATGTATTAAAGTTAGAATTGCAAACCCTTTGTTCCATGCCGACAATGAATATATCAGCCACTGGACTATGGAGTGAGTCGTCTTATTTTTTTTAAACATTCGGTCGTTAATAACATCAGTGATGTCATTAAGATTTACTTTTTGGCTCTTAAAAAGAAGTTAAAATATTAAAGAAAAAATAGAGATACTGAAATAAGCAACGGCCACAAGAAGGTTGGGGACGTGACTAAACGGTTGCGTTCCTTTGTATTGGATGAGAGCATCTTTAGCCATTAAAATACTTTGGGAATTCAAAGCAGGGGTAAGGCTATGACTTCTGAAAGGCAGCACTGAGAATATTCATGGTAATAAAGCACTTAAAGATTCGATAACATCTTGATTTCTTATCTCTGCTTCGCATAAGGTGCCAGTCTCTTCCCTTCTTTCTTATTAATAGTGTCTGTAGGGTTCTTTCTAACTGAGGTTCACAGGGAAGCTCTTAGTGAATAGGGTTAAATGTAATAAATATGCCATGTAGCTGTTTTATTCTTGATTTCTTCAGGAGGCTGAAACTCACGACTTTTCGTTATATAAAAGCCATATGTAGCAAATAGCCTGCAAAGCTTTAGTTTGGAGAGACAAAGATAAACTGGACATCCAATAGAGGACAGTTCTTTTCATAAGAAATATTGAACTCCTTTTCTTGGAAGGACTGTGCAGGTTGCGTGGAAATGATAAGTATGTCAGGACTCCCTGACAGTTAGTTGTCAAGCTGCTGACACAAAGCACATTATATTTAGTTCTTGCTATTATATGTTTTTCTAGGAAGCACATGCATTTGCAATTTTATTTTACAGTTGAGAAATTGGAGACGAATGGAAAAGCAGATTTTAGAACCTAAGCCGTTACATCAGTATCCTTTCCACTGGCATCTGAGTGTATTTGCCCTGATTGTTGTCTGTTTTTAACAGAGGGGAAAAAAATACAGTTTGCTTTTTTCCTCTCTGAATCCTGCTAGTAATAATTTGAAATATGTACTCTCTTCCCTGTGCTGTCAGTAATTGTGTTCTGTTTTTTTCCTTTTTTTTCTTTAAGATCTGGAAGACAGATCGCCCTCATAATTGGTGAATGCGTGCAGCCATCAACCGTGCACGATGGCAGACAAATTAACAAGAATTGCTATTGTCAACCATGACAAGTGTAAGCCAAAGAAATGCCGTCAGGAATGCAAGAAGAGTTGTCCTGTGGTTCGAATGGGTAAGAGATGCATCTTAACAAAGTATTTAAGCACTCTGGGAAGTTTGAAGTAACGTTCAGTGAGAATGAGCCAGGGTGTTGGGTGTTCTGTTCTTTGTTTTATGAAGGCTATTAAAGTTGAACATTCATCTTTGAAAGCGTGAGCAGTTCATAGCAGTAATGCTGATTTTGAGGCCTTCAAATGATTTAAAGCTGCTGTGGCTCTTGGTAGGATCATGTCATTGAATAGCTTGGGTTGGAAGGGATCTTTGAAATCATTGACTTCCAAGCCTTGC